TAATGGCTGGGCTTCCACTAACCCTTCATTAGTGGCCAGTGGCTGGGCTTCCACTAACCCTTCATTAGTGGCCAATGGCTGGGCTTCCTCTTACCCTTCACAAGTTACCAATGGCTGGGCTTCCTCTTACTCTTCACAAGTTACTAATGGCTGGGCTTCCACTAATCCTTCATTAGTGGCCAATGGCTGGGCTACCACTAACCCTTCATTAGTGGCCAATGGCTGGGCTTCCTCTTACCCTTCACAAGTTACCAATGGCTGGATTCTGCTAATCCTTCACCAGTCACTAATGGCTGGGCTTCCTCTAATCCTTCACCGGTCACCAATCGCTGGGCTTCCTCTTACCCTTCACAAGTTACCAATGGCTGAATTCTGCTAATCCTTCACCAGTCACTAATGGCTGGGCTTCGTCTAATCCTTCACCGGTCACCAATCGCTGGGCTTCCTCTTACCCTTCACAAGTTACCAATGGCTGAATTCTGCTAATCCTTCACCAGTCACTAATGGCTGGGCTTCGTCTAATCCCTCACCGGTCACCAATGGCTGGGCTTCCTCTTACTCTTCACAAGTTACCAATGGCTGGATTCTGCTAATCCTTCAACAGTCACCAATGGCTGGGCTTCCACTAACCCTTCACCAGTCACTAATGGCTGTGCTTCCTCTAATCCTTCATGAGTCACCAATCGCTGGGCTTCCTCTTACCCTTCACAAGTTACCAATGGCTGGGCTTCCTCTTACTCTTCACAAGTTACCAATGGCTGGATTCTGCTAATCCTTCAACAGTCACCAATGGTTGGGCTTCCTCTAACCCTTCACCAGTCACTAATGGCTGTGCTTCCTCTAATCCTTCATGAGTCACCAATCGCTGGGCTTTCTCTTACCCTTCACAAGTTACCAATGGCTGGGCTTCCTCTTACTCTTCACAAGTTACCAATGGCTGGATTCTGCTAATCCTTCAACAGTCACCAATGGCTGGGCTTCCACTAACCCTTCACCAGTCACTAATGGCTGTGCTTCATCTAATCCTTCATGAGTCACCAATCGCTGGGCTTCCTCTTACCTTTCACAAGTTACCAATGGCTGGGCTTCCTCTTACTCTTCACAAGTTACCAATGGCTGGATTCTGCTAATCCTTCAACAGTCACCAATGGCTGGGCTTTCTCTAACCCTTCACCAGTTACCAATGGACAGGCTTTAACTAACCCTTCACCAGTCACCAATGGCTGGGCTTTCTCTAACCCTTCACCAGTGGCCAATGGCTGGGCTTCCACTAACCCTTCATTAGTGGCCAATGGCTGGGCTTCCTCTAACCCTTCACCAGTGGCCAATGGCTGGGCTTCCACTAACCCTTCACCAGTGGCCAATGGTTGGGGCTTCCTCTAACCCTTCACCAGTGGCCAATGGTGGGCTTCTTATAACCCTTCACCAGTCGGACCAATAGTTGGGCTTCCTCTAACCCTTCACCAGTCAACAATGGCTGGGCTTTCTCTAACCCTTCATCAGTCAACAATGGCTGGGCTTTCTCTAACCCTTCATCAGTCAACAATGGCTGGGCTTTCTCTAACCCTTCATCAGTCAACAATGGCTGGGCTTCCTCTAACCCTTCACCAGTGACCAATAGTTGGGCTTCCTCTAACCCTTCACCAGTCAACAATGGCTGGGCTTTCTCTAACCCTTCACCAGTCAACAATGGCTGGGCTTTCTCTAACCCTTCACCAGTCAACAATGGCTGGGCTTTCTCTAACCCTTCATCAGTCAACAATGGCTGGGCTTTCTCTAACCCTTCATCAGTCACCAATCACCAATGGCTAGGATTTCATTAACACTTCACCAATATCTAATGGATGGGCTTCCTCTACCCTCACTAATGACTGATTCCTCTAATCCCTTACCAGTTTGCAATGGCTGGGCTTTCTCTAACCCTTCACAAGTTACCAATGGCTGGGCTTTCCACTAACCCTTCACCAGTGGCTAATGACTGGGCTTCCAGTAATCCTTAGAAATGCCTGGACCAATCACAATCAAACTTCACACATACATCATACATGATATTATACATATGCACGTCAATTTGTTTCACGATCTGAATCAAGATGGCCAAATGGTGGCCATTTTTGTGCTCAAAAATCATCAAAATCAAGCTTTTTTCGGCTGTTTACAGATGGATTTTGTTCAAAATTGGTATATACGTTAGACATTCTAGGACCTTGATGCACATCATTTTGTTTTTCAGATAAGATTAAAAATGGCCGACTGGCGGCCATTTTGTTTTAATGAATGTGGTTCTAGTGCCATATCTCTGACTTGCTTTGACTGATTATTATAATATTCATTATACATCATGTCATAGATAACAGATATATTGGTTGACGATCCTATTCAAAATGGCCGAATGGTGGTCATTTTTGTGCTAAAAAATCATCAAATATCAAGCATTTCTGGCATTTATGGATGGATTTTGTTTAAACGTGGTACATACTATAGACATTACAGGTTCCTGATGCACATCATTTTATTTTTCAGATCAAATTCAAAATGGCTGTCTGGTGGCCATTTTGTTTTAATGAATGGGTTTCCAGACTCATATGTCTGACTTGTTTTGACTGATTATGTTCAAATTTTTAATATTCATTATACATCATGTCATAGATATACAGGATATATTGGTTTGACGATCCTTTTCAAAGTGGCCAAATGGTGGCTATTTTGGTGCTAAAAAATCCTCAAATATCAAGCATTTCTTGCATTTATGGATGGATTTTGTTCAAGTTTATATCATACATTAGACATTACAGGTTCCTGATGCACGTCATTTTATTTTTCAGATTGAATTCAAATTGGCTGACTGGCGGCCATTTTGTTTTAATGATTGGGCTTCTGGAGCCATATCTCTTAAATGCTTTGACTGATTATATTCAAAGTTTATATATTCGTTATACATCATGTTAAATATATATATACATGTATTCAAAATGGCTGATTTTGAATGCTGTTCCAGAGCAATATCTCAAATGTCAATCATTTTAATGTTAAAAAATCATATTCCTGACATGGTTATATTCCAGCTATATTACTATAAATAAAACTATATATTTTAAATTTGATAACTAACAAGGACTGCATGGCTTGTTTCAATCCAAAACTTATTTGTATTCAAAATTAATTATGACAATGCATATTCATATTGAAACTAACTATGATAAAGGGAATAAATATAATATAACAAAAGGCAAGGTCACCAGTGTTCAACTATGTTGTAGTTTTCATATTTGTTATCATTTTTAATTTTTTATAGCCTACATGTCTCGATCAAAATGTGGGGGAAAAAATGGGTGGTTATATTTTGTAAATAGTAGTAGAAGTTGACTTTAGTTCTCAAATGGTTGATAATTGCCGACATTTGCATTCATCGACTTGCATTACAGCACTGCAATCCATTTCTATGAAAAGTAAAGACATATTACTCTTCTTTCAGGGCGTCAAAGGTGAAACAGGAAGTGTCGGTAATAAAGGTCAAAAGGGTGAAAAAGTAAGTACAGTAATGTCGCATACGACTTGTTTACCACTTCCGTGTGACTGAGAATGTTCTAGAACTGTACTGTGTCTGGGTGGAATTTTTAGAAGCTGGTTGAATAGGTAATAGGACACTGTAGAAGGCAATAGAAGGTAATAGAATATTCTAGAAATTTGTAGTAAATTCCAGACTCATTATGTATGCTGATGTAATGGTCTATTTATAAACAGTATGGGTATATATAGGGGAGTTGTTCAGCACTGAGATCAGATCGGAGATCTCATTGAATTGTATTGGAGTTTAAGTATCTAGTTATTGGAGTAGTGGAGTTTTACCGCGTTATTGTACTTGATGTTTGCAGAGTATAATAATACCAGTACCAGTTGAAACCTCATCTGTTGGCTCCGTGTTTGTATTTTATCATCGCCGCCAGGGAAGTCTTTTTGTTACTGTTGCCATTTTGGTATTTGAACCATCACACCTGTACTATACCAATTACGGTAATATTACAATGCGTGTGACAAGTAACTATCTGGTCAGTGTGTGCAATACTACAAAAAGTGCAAGCCAATTTTTGTTTCCACTTTTTGATGATGATTTGTTTAACTCAGTGAAATTTGTGCAGTTGCAAATATTTCAGCATAAAACAAAACCTTACCAATTTTGAAAAACAATTCACCAAGAAATTTTTTTGTGAAGCATAATGTTTATTGAACATCTTGTATCTAGAACATTTACCTCATATTTGTGTTGAGAACGAAACTATTTTGGGAAATTGTCCGTCGGCAGGAGCATTGTTGTTGTTGTTAATGTGTGAAGGATAACTTGGAATGAGTAATTCTAATCCAACCAATGTAATTGTCACACGCAGCGTAGTATTACCGTAATTGGTATAGTACAGGTGTGATGGTTCAAATACCAAAATGGCAACAGTAACAGAAAGACTTCCCTGGCGGCGATGGTAAAATACGAACACGGAGCCAACAGATGAGGTTTCAATTGGTACTGGTATTATTATACTCTGCAAACATCAAGTACAATAACGTGGTAAAACTCCACTACTCCAATAACTAGATACTTAAACTCCAATACACAATTCAATGAGATCTCCGATCTGATCTCAGTGCTGAACAACTCCCCTGTATATACCCCCACTGTCTATAAATAGACCATTACATCAGCATACATAATGAGTCTGGAACTTACTACAAATTTCTAGAATGTTCCATTACCTTCTATGGCCTTCTACAGTGTTCTATTACCTATTCAACCATTTCCTAAAAAATATAGAATATTCCACCCAGACACAGTACGTTTCTGGAACATTCTCAGTGACACGGAAGTGGTAAACAAGTCGTATGCGACAGTAATACTTGGGTATATTATTCATAAGTATAAATTCTTGTCTAATTTTAATCATGCGAACATGTCAAACGACAAATTTGGGAATGTATGAAGGCTAGCACTACCTAACGTATAAATATTATATATACATGTATGATAGGTGCAATGAATAATCTACACCTCATTAAACATACAAACACAAATAGTTATTTTCCAAAACATGTAATCATAAATTTACAGTGTATCCTATTAACAGGTCGTAGTATGCAAACTCTAAACTACGCTAGCTAAAAGCATTGTATCCCAACCTTGGCTTGATAGAGTCATAGATACAGTTTAAAACTGTAACTTTAGTACCGTTCAAGAAACACAAATATCAAAATTAACAGTAGTCATTGAAGTGAGTGGATAATCATTTCCAGCTTCCAATAGTTGTGCAGAGCTACATCTGTATTTTCAGGTCCTGGTGATATTTTCTTTGTGTGGCTCTCACAGCAAATTTTTATACACAAAATATAAAAAAGGCACAATTGATGCTGGATTACACATTGTTGTACCTTCAAATAACCTGGATAATACACCTGCACCCTTGAAATGTTTCATTCGTTCAAAATGGGCAAGGTATCAATTGATACACTATGTTTGATATTTGTTGGGAATAATTTTATTGAAACTATACAGTAACAGGTTTCCATACTATGATGTGTTAAAACTTCTTCCTGCTGACTCTGTGATTGTTGTCTCCTTTCAGGGTTTTAAAGGCAGTAAAGGAATAATTGGTCCACCTGGTGCGGATGGTCCAAAGGTAAGAAAGTAGTGTTTCGCTAAAAAAATAATATTAGATAGTTGTACAACATGTGACTTTTAAATATAACCATGATAATATGAGGTTATCACAAGGATACCTGAAAGTATGCACGAAGACAGTACAGCTGGAGTATCAACTGATGCGCAGTGCAGGTTGATGCGATGGTGTACTGTCTGAGTGCATATTTTGAGGCATCCTCAGAATAATTTTATTATTTTACATCTTTTCCTGCCAAGGATACACCATGGGAATGCCGAAATTCAAAATGTTTAGAAAAGAATCAGCGAACTTATTTGTGTGGAGTCCGGTTAACCTTTAGTGACGGCCATGTTTGTTTTTATTATTAGAGAACGCTTACACACGTAATCATTCCATATTTAGAGTTTGCATTTCCTAATATTGTAGGATGACAATGCCCCGTACAATACCGCAAAATTACGGCACGCTGTAACTTATTGCGTTATGGTGACAGATGTATAATTATTGTAGTTATTAATAACTGAAGTTGCAATTGATGCAAGATATTATTGTTCAAACTTGAGTTGTTGACTGCAAATTTGTCAAAACAGCAATGTCTATGTGATATACTTTGAAATGCTTTGCTACATGCCATTTTTTCCTTGCCCGCACCATCAAAGATGGAAGGGAAAGGTATATTAAGGGTAAGATTTGTGTCCGGCGCTGTCGTCGTTGTCGTTGTTATTGTGTGCACAATAACCTTACTAATTCTATTCCAAACTTCATCAAACTTGGTCACCTTATTCATCAGTATAAAGTCTTCCCTGAGTTTGAACAACAGATGTCCTGTATGAAAATATGCAAAAATTGAGGAAATCTGATAAAATATTTTGACTGTTTCTACTTGATTGATCACTGGTGATACGCATCAAAGGTCACTGATCTCAGTGGAAATATGCATTGTTGTATGTGTTCAATGAAGCAAATCAATTATCTTGTAATAATATCATTGGTAATGTATCTCCCAAATCTCATGGGAATACTATACTGGGTTTCAAAACCAACTCATGGAGAGATTTTTTGCACAGTCTGATACACATTTGCAAACCTACAAATAAAATCTTTACGGAAAACAAGGTGTCAGAAAATCAGTATAAACACTCCTATGGACTGGGTGCCAAACTTTGATCAAGATCTAAAGGAAATCTGTTATAAAATCAAAAACAATACATAAAAAATACATAAAAAGCAAAACGTTGCATCCATATTTTGAAAAGAAAATTGTACTAAAATATATGTATTCTGTATTTGACAAACAGTTCATTCGACAAATGAAAATTCACAGGAATTTGTTTCAGCTATTAGAACAGAATGATACGGCTTTTATAATACTAATTTTAAAACGCACTTTAAAAACAAAGATTGCAGTGTTTGAAGATGTAGATTCTCAGGAGGCAACAGTACTGTTGACTTCTCCCTCCACTGGACACCAACTAACTATTTAAGTTGATTTGCATACAAAGCAGAGCTTGCAACATGATAGCTATTCATAGAGGGTGTTTTTTTTTTTTACTTTTCATATAATACAGTAGTCACACAGTGAATATAATAAGGCAGTTCATATTTGTCTCAGTGAATCATTAATTTTTGACATTCACCTGTACAAAATACTTGGACAAAAGCCAGCTAAGATTTTCTGGTATCTTGCATGTTTTATGAATCTATTCATGTCTAAATGCAGCACTTTTTTTTTCTGAAATGATGCATTTGTTTTAATACTAAAATATCTGAATTACTTTGAATAAAGCTAGAAATTATGTCCGTTAAAATAATTAAACAAATTAGGCACTAATGTTTTTGTAAGATATTTACACCTAACAAGGACATTCGGTAGACTGCTTCCCCACTGTTAGTTCAACCCCAAAACTTGTTTGTATTCAAAATTAATTATGACAAATGCATATTTATATTGAAACAAACTATGATAAAGGGAATAATATTATATAACAAAGGACAAGGTCACCAGAGTTCAACTATGTTAACAAATTTGTCTCAATACATTAATTAACAGTCGACAATCTCATGTGAAAATATACTTTTTGTTGAATTAAAAACATCTTGAATTAGCAAAATACAATTCACTAAAATAACATGCTAGCTAAATGGACATGTTTTATGATATCTTAAATTCTCTTGTCAGTAATATTCCATTTTTCAAATTAATTTGGAGATAGTTGTATATAGTGTTTCAGGTTTTTTTTGAAAAATAAAAGATTTCCTGCAAACTGCAGATTATTGAGTTTTTGAGGATGGGAGAGAGTTGAATGAAAGTTTGTTAATTTACGAAAACATTAAAATACTGTAGCCAGAAAACAAGATGGCTACTGCTACTCAGAACAGATGATGTTTTTAGTATTAATTAAAATTCTCTAATTAACCACCACATGTCACACTGCATCAACTCCAGCTTCTATGCAATGTTTGTGAAACACCTTGCTTGCTCTATATTTGTCATGAAAATTAACTTGGCTGCTCGATACCCACTCTTACATCGTTGTGGATATTCAAATGTTGTAAATGCATTTACATTTATAACAGATTATATTCCTCTTGTATGTAGCATAAAGAGCTGCATGTACATTATTCTACAAATTGATGCTGAGAGATTTTATAATCTTTTATTGTTTTTGCAGGGGGAAAAGGGGGGAATTGGGAGGACAGGAGATAGAGGTGAGCGTGGTGTAAAAGGAATACAAGGACCAGTTGGTGATGTTGGTAGCACAGGTCCAGCAGGATATACGGTAAGTTGACATAATTTCACTGTGTTATGTATAGCTACGTTCTCACACGTCTAAAAAATGCTGCATGGTGTTGACACTGTTTGTTGTTGTGCAAATATTAGCTAATCTGCTGAATTGTCTGCTCGCGTTCTCACTTAGTAAAAACATCGGTGTTTTGCGCCCACAATGAATCATACC